CCCCAAAACCCCAAAACCCCAAAACCCCAAAACCCCGAGATTTTGAGAAATAATTGAATTCCAATTATCTTACTGAAATAGATAAACTTCGGTGGGATTTCTAAAACTAATCGTCATCAATACTGTCAAGGTCGACGATTGAGGCGAGGTTGACTGAAGATTCATCAGGATATCTGTCTCTCTTGTTAAGCGTTGCTATTGAACTTCTGCTTTGGCTTTCCTCGCTGCTTTCACTGATTTCTTCCATTTGTAACGAGTTATCACTTGGGCATCTAAGTTATAGGAAAGATTTTACCTATTTTTAGGAATATTAGGAAGCCTGAAGTCCAATCTTTCAGTTATGTCATCTCTTGTTTGAGTCTGAGTGGGGTACAACAATTTTGAGTGTTCCAAGGAACCTATAATTAGTCAGGAATAATACAGATTAGCAGTCCATATGGCTCAAGAAATCGCTCAATTCAGCCTTTAAACTCCAACTTAATGAAAGGCCCTTGGCACCCCTTGAAGTTATCTCTCCTATTTCAAAGATTAAAAGGTGAAATTTTAAATTTCAGAGGAAATAGAGTAAGTACTTACTTTTGGAATAAGATTCTTCTGAGAAATCTTTCAATATCTTTATGACTTCTACCTGAGCAATGGAGAGAGAGTGAGTCAAGGTTTCTATGGGTCAACTACTCGATACCTCTGACAACGAAGTCTTTGGCACTCCCAAAGTGCGTTCTTGATGCAAAATAGCGCCTCAGCTTCATTGAAATGCTCCGAGTTGCCTTTCAATCGTTCATTTCAGGAATATGTGTGGTCTACTATTTTGTATTTGCTTTTGTTCTGGAGACGCTTTCTGAGCAGGCTCTCTTTGAGCCAACTGATTGAGTAGATTGTTCCATTCAGGAACTTTTCAGAGTAAATTATTGGGTCTAAATCTCCTGGATAAAGCATGGCGATGTCTTTGGGAGACACATTCGTTAAGCGAGAGAGGTTGTAACCGATTTCAGTGAAGAATTCAGTGTCGAGTACAGGCACCTATTTTTGATATTCAGCTTACTTTTAATGTTTTTCTCCTAATAAATCGGTTCTCTGAGTGATCAAGATATAGCCTATTATCTGCACACGCTATTTGGAATGTCAAAGGAGTTATGTCAGCCTGATCTCGAACGATAAAAGCTCCATTTGTCGATAGGGTTTGTATGAAATCCTGTTTGTACTGAAAATCCTCTCCAAAATAGAACTCCATCGGGAGAGGGGTGTCTAAGCCAGGAATGGCTACTTCAAAAAGTTTGTGGTCTTCTTCCATAATTAACTCAATGAAGGATTGGTGGTTTGGATCCATTTAGAGTAATAATTTTTAACTAAGTTGGGGTTTTGGGGTTTTGGGGTTTTGGGG